TGGGGGGGGGGGGGGGGGGGGGGGGGGACAAGGAACAGAACAAATAAAGAGGGACGAGATGCCGTATCACATATATACATACGCGTATATATGTATATTGTATACACATACAATGCACGTCCTTCGCCGACAATTCGTCTCTATGCGTATCAAACACGTCCGGTCTCTCTCATTTCCATTGAATATTCACACAAATACAAAAATCTTTACTACCATTTTTTTTTATCATCGAGCAATCAAGATTGATCATGCAACATACACGTAAAAATCATATTATCGTCATCGAATAGGACGACGCACGATCGAACAATCGTGCCGTTCATCGTACAGAATCATTTGTATAGGCACAGAACGGCAAGAGATCGTTCGCTCGTCTACGCGTTTCGGTGGGGGAACGTAAAAGTACACACCCATTGATCCGTGCATCGTTCTGCGTACAATTGAAATAAATCCGCTCGCAAAGTCTAGAACATAAATTTAATACCGGACCGAGGAACGGTTGTCCCGGACGATAAAGACATTCTTAAAAAGAGATGCCGTGTCGCGATCGTCGATCCGTGACAATAGTTTTAAATACACACGTTGTTTTTTTTTTGTTTTTTTTGTTTTCGTAGTTTCAACACAATCGAGATCGCCGTTATGACAGCAGGAAGCAGTTGGATGTTTAAGGCACGCTAGAACGAAACTGTTTTGCTTGGTCATTTCGTAATCATAGAATGCATTTTATTTCGAACAACACGGATGGACCTCCATCGATAAATATATGCTATAGACTTTCGAGGTATCCGGTAAACGAACATTCGCGCGTAGTACGAGGTTGTTTCGACGCGTCCCTATCGGGATGATCATCGGACGGTCTTGGTCTCTCTTGGAGGTTCCACTTCCGATGAACATGCCCCGCGACGAGAATTGCACGATCGTCCAGTATATAGCCACGAAGGTAGCCGTAATAAAAAAACAAAAAGATAGGGCAGAAACTAAAATGAAGAAATATTCCTGTGTGTCAGTAAATGAACAACGGTAATTATATGGATAAATAGTACTGACAGAGCACTAATGATAATAATAATAATTAATAATAATAATAATAATATTGATAATACAGTAATTAATAATTTACATATACACTTCCACGTACTTATTTACTCAATTAATTATATTCCCTATCTACATACGGCATGCTCACGCGTACACTCGCCTGTCCTTCAAACGCAATACAGTCTGTACTCAGCCGTAAATTCTTAAACGAAAACTGATTAAACGCTCCAACATACTCTATGCATCTATAAAAAAATAAGATGAGTAATCGTAAAAAATATACAGAGCAAAACGCGTAATATACAAATCGATAATATAGAGATATTGCAGAATTTCTTTCTCTCTCGCTGCTTCCTTTCTCTGCTCCTCGGTTCTCTCTCTCTCTCTCTCTCTCTCTCTCTCTCCCCCCCCCCGTCTTTCACACATTTGCGCACATACTCTTTATCCAGAGTTTATCGATTATTTGAAACATTTCTCCGTCTTGATTTGAAGCAGATACGAAAAAAGAAAATTACAAATGTCACAATCCAGAACATGGAAAGACAGTGTGTGTCTGCGTTCTTTGCTTTTTAGTTTATCAAATGGGGACGCGGTACTACGGGACTAAGAAAAAAATATTATAAATATTGAAAGTTTGACAACGAAGCACTGCTCAGGTGAAATCAATGGAGTGCGCGCGAAGGAAGTATGAGCTATGTCTCTGTTTCCGAGAAGTTGAATTGATCAGGCCCGATCAATAGAAAAGATAAATAATGACATGCGCGACAACGCTTCATTCTGTGGTAATCTTGCACGCGACAGGATATCTTCATAAACTATCGTCGCTGTCATCGGCGTGGGCTTCGACCGGAACGTTCCCTGCCAATCCCGTGGTACTTCCTTCTCTGTTATTTTCAATCTCCTGCTCCATGGAGTTATTCTGCGCTTGCTGTTCGTCTAGGCATAGATAATTATATGATACAAAATCGTACAAACACCGCTCGTAACATTTAACCCTTAGCGAACGACGACTCTTTCGGCCGAGTCAGGTAGCAGGACGAAGATAATGAAATCTAACATAAACACCGATTGTCGCCTCTCACTCGCCATTCGTCCTGCCGCGCGAAACGCCGTGGCGACCGAGAGTCGCCTCTCGTCCGCTAAGGGTTAAAACTAATTAGATTCATGAGACACACGTAATATGTCTATACTAAAAATCTATTGATTCTTCGTAGGTTCTTAAATTTCCGGCAATCCATTTACAACTGTACTTTACTGATTACACGGAGAAATTGTACAAGTAGAAGTTGAATGGAAAGACTTCTTAAAATTTTAATTAAAATTATTTTCTAAGTTTGATCAGTTCATTTAATGTTCATTTAAATTAGATTAATTCATTTTTAAGTTTATAAGTTCATTGTTTTCCTCAATATACAAAGAATTGGTAAAAATAATGTTAAATATAAGATATAATTCGCACGTGTGTAGTACAAAAGATATCACGTTATCTTTGTTATGAATCAGTCAAAAAGAAAAGTGTTGAATGATACATAAAGCTATCTCGCAAATTACGTAATCAACTTTTTTTATACGAATACCAACAGTTGAGAAAATTAAATTTGAAATTTTGTCGAGTACGCGTACATGGGAAACCAGATATGTCATAATGAAATTATCATATCTCGGTAGTGGATATAGACATCTACATAATGTACCTTGACAATGTTAAAACGAGCGACCCCTTCTCCGTATTAAATTAATTACCTGACTGTGTTGCCGTAGGTTCTTCATCTCCTTGACCTGGATTCCGTATAGCTTCTTTGATTTGACTGTTGATACCCTTTGGATCTAGATCCGATGCCCAACTAAAGTACATTAACGCAAGATGCGTATTACCCAACTTTGTATACACCTAAAAAAAGCGATAAATTTAAGTAAACGAAAAACGAAGACACTAATACTGATCTGGATAAATGATGACAATAATTCATACTTTTCCTATCGAATAATAGACTAGGGATTCTTTGGGTACAATATTTTTCAACTCCTCAAATTCACTAAGTGCTTCCGCGTGTCGGCCAATTGAGAAATTAATGCTCGCACGATGAAACTTGCATAAAGTATTGTCGGGATCGTTCGCGATCGCAGTATTCAAAGTCTTTAAAGCTTGATCAGTTTTCTTCATTGAATGCTGCACAACACCGATGTGGCACATTATTGCAGAGTTCTGCGGATTAATTTGTAAAGCACGTTTAAAATGCAGTTCGGCCAGACTGTACTGCTCTTGTTTAGAAAATATTGTTCCTAACCCGAACCTGTGAAATAATATGTTTATTATGAATGCTAAAAGTTACTTTAATTTACAAATTCATTCCAGAATTTTAGGTACACGATGTGCAGACGTCATAGAAATTTTACAGAAGCGTACGCATGAATTTTAATTAAAACATACCATGCGTTATAATGCCGAGAGTCAAGTCTGATGGCGCTACGAAATGCAGTAATAGCCTTTTCCAATTCTTCTGTCATTACATATTCGTGACCAAGAAGTGTATAGGCATAAGGAAAATTCGGATCAACCTGAAAACATTGCGAACAATTATAATTTTCTTATAAACTTCAAAATATTCAAATGTTCTTGCTAACACACCTGAATAGCTCTTTGAAAGAACTTGATTGCCGTTTCATGTTCCGTCTGTGCAGAAAATAAATTTCCGGTAGCACACCATGCGGCCGGGCAATTACGATCTTCGGAGACGAGTTCTTGTGCAAGAGTCGAGAGCTGCACTTCAGCGTGTAAATGCCACAAAACTGTACTATAAATTTCCATAAGTTCAGTCCTTTGGGGTTCTAATTGTCTCACATCTGCGAAATAACTGCATAACAAAATATGATAAGTCGATTGGTTAGTTTACGTCGAACCTAGATACATAAACAGAACGTTTTAAATTTTTACCTAGCCGCCTTTTTATAATCGATCATCTCAAAGTGTGCACGAGCTATCATCGATAGTACCCATCCTGTGTTATAATGTTGTGCTGGAAGAATACTTAATATTTCGATAGCTTGAGCACACTTATATTGACTTAAGCATTGATATGCCATTCCTAATTCGCGGAGCAATGACATTAAACCCTCTAAAAACACATAAACCACGTAGTTAGACTCGAAGTAAACAAAATCTCATTTCTCCAAATAATATTACAAAAACAGTAGCGTACCAGCACATTGTTTCTGCAGTGTTACAGGACAGAAATTAGTATTACTTTGATTGTTCAATGCATTCACGTTAGCTACTGCCTTTTCTGATGTAATAGTTTCAGATTTCTCCTTCTCATTTCGGTTTCTTTCGTTTAGTTCATTAAAATTTGCTTTATTTAAATTACTTTTAGAAATCCTCGCTTTCGTTTTCCGAGACGGCGATTTAGGTGTAGCAAATTTGTTTCTATTAGGAGATTTATTGTTTTCCTAAGAAAATATTAATATACGTTGATCAAAAATGGTTATGAATTATTCATAGAATTCAATCATTAGGAGTAATTGGAAATTTAAACAAATTTCAACTGACCTTGACTGAATAGCTGTGATTAAACAGCCTTGATGAACGCCTAACATTGGTACCTTGTAACGTTGGTGGTGGCGGTGTTGGTGTAGCAGGCGTTACTGTAACAATATTTGCGCTATTACTTGTATTTCCTGATTGTGAAAATACTGGTTTTCCTTGTTGTAGAGGCGTTTCTTTCCTCGATATCAGCTGCTGTAAATCACAATATTACATTTCACATCTCACAATATGGTGAAATATATCTATATTGTATGTTTAAAGGTTCAGTAATTATTATTTAAGTCTTACCCCCATATGAGCTCTTAAACTACTGACACGTTTTACTAAACTCTTCTGGTCATTAGCTTCTGTGAGCGTGGTATGTGATGGCAAAACTGTTGGTTCGGGTGTATTGCTTTCCAATGGTAAGATACCAAAAGTCGGAGTAAGAGGACTCATAGTATTATTGAACATGCTACGGTACCGTGGAAGTTTAGCCCTTGGTGATATCGAAGAGCAATTACTGTAATGCGTAAGTTGATTTTGCGGGCTCTCATCTACGGACGAGTATAATCGTACAGCAGGTCCTATACCGTTCATAATAGTCGCCGCTGTTGTCATTTGTGCGGGTGTACTGCAGAACATAAATAATGCAACAATGCGATGTAAATATAGGTATATCTACTTAATTTACATATACATACACAGTGATGCCATTTGTAGTAGGTGTACCACTTGAAATGTTAGCAGGTACAATGAGATCTGACTCTGTGGCATATGTAGGAGCAGATATACCACCATGGCACATTGCAAAATTATCTAATTTGTCTAGTTGGAAAACTTTAGCGGGCTCTACAACTTCCCCAACATTACACAATTCTTCGAACGAATGCCATAGGAATGGATTCAGCTTTAAAGCTAATTTATGTGCATCATTTCCTTTTGCAGTACGCATCATTTTATAATAAATCTTAGCTATGATCTGAAGCGAGAAACATGCATGTTCACCGAACTGTGTTATGATTTCTTCTAAATTTTTTAACTGTTTATAGTATCCTCCTATTATTGCTGCCTCTGCTTCTGCATATCTAAACATTAAAATATTAAAAATGACACGTTAATAATGAATCTAGAAAAACGTAGAAGTATGCAATTGTGTACTCACTTTTCTAGATCATAACAACACTTGGCCAGAAGAAATCTGCATTGCGCAGAGCTTGGAGCTTTTTTAGAAAGTAATGCATACGCTTGTCTAACTTGTCCCGAACGGTAATAACACGTTGCCAAAAGAAATAATGTTTCTTCTGTGTCAACTAAAAAATATTTTAAGCAGTATTATAATCACACACACAACACACTAAAATTAATTATTCATGAATTCATAATTAAACCAAAAAAAGTAAGACTTACCTTCTGCGCACAACCTTTCTGCTAAAAATATTGCATCTGGATAAGCATAATGATTTAAACAATGCCATATGGCTGCCTGTAATTATATAAATCGTAAACACTGTCAGAGTGCATAGTGATAAAAACATTTGCTTTTATACCCACATAAATAAATACATACTATCTATATAATTGTTCCCTAATAGATTAATACAATTAAGTTCATAAAAATTAGTAAAATTAGGTATACAGTACGGGAAAGAAATCGTAAACACCATAAACATTTGGACTTATTTATAGTCGTATCCCCTCCCACTTACGTTCATTTCGCAAAAGCAAACAACCCTGAAGAAGTACACCCTCACGGAAAAATACATTTAATGAGCTATTAGATAAAATTATGATAACACGGTGAAAGTTATATTATTGAGAAAGGCGTGGAGCTTCGCACGATGTCACGCATAACATGAAAACAATTTCCAGTTCAGGGAGAAACATACGCGCAAACTGTTTCAATTTCTGATGTCAGTATCAATAAGTGTGGATGCGCCCCGATAGAAAATCGCACGTCACTGGAAGTTTCCGGTTAAAATCGAATGATTTTACCTGCACTGGCTCCTGTACGATCATCGTTCACACGGTAGGCTTGGTCATATAAGAATAATCTCGAACGTTTCAAGGAAATTTAACGAAGAAAATCCAAAGTCGAGTGACTGCTGTGTATAAAAATTTCTTAGGAGTCCATCTTTGCTCCGATTCTTTTGAAGTGAACAACGAACTTCAGAACGAAGGTGTACCAACATCGCAGAAACGTCAATTTCATACTAACCGAACAGAATTTGTGCACATAAGCTTTATACCGGTATGTTCATGTTCATCGTTCAAATCTCTCTTTCGATAAACATTGTACGTATTAATTTGTACGCTCGTTGAATGTCGATTAGAAATTTTACTTGAAACTTTTTGAAGCATTGAATGTACAAAAATCAAATTTGTATTCAGCGTTAGCATTGAAATATTTTCGATAATATGCATCAAATTTGAAAAATTATTCGCGGTATGCACTACATTGACAAGACAATTACAATTGGTTTAAATTAATTCGTTTTCGTAACATTTATTCTTAGTACATACGTTGTAAAATGAGTTTTATTTTTTATACGTACATACATAATGGATATTACACAGAATACGTACATTATGTACATACATACACAGTGAACGCAATCGTTTGCTGAATTTGGTTGGTAACCTGTAAGTGCAAGGTTTATGCCAATTTCTGCCAATGGATGAACAATGTCAGACAAGTGCTAAGTTTTCATGTGTATATATACATGTGTACTTGCGTGTCTATTATTTATTCATATTATTTATAATATATAATTACCGAAGCATTCAAAAGTATATGTGTATTATGTTGTAAATTAGCCACGTACTTAATATTATATATTATGCATACAGTTTTATAAATGCATTTCAAGTGTAGAACATTATATTGGAACATAAACATAAATAAATCTTTATTATTTAAACAATTCTTTTGTAAATTGTACATATGTGCGATGACAATGTAAGTATTTGACTTACATAACCAAAGTATTTGGATTTAATCTAAATATGTAATGTTATTTTACAGACTTTAAAAATATTAAAACCACAAGAATTATTGCTTCGTTTTTGCAATAATGTATTGTTTATTGCATCCTTGCTTTCATGCAAGTTTTCGACTGATAAAAAAAATCAGGTTGACATACGTGTGTGTTTGTATCGGTATCATCTTTCTACTTGATTTCTTTGGAGCGTTCACACATTTTTTTGAAGTCCAATATGATTCAAATTTTGTTTATCCGTATGAAGGTGATGTACATGAATTTGTGAATGCATTGCGTCATAATGAAGAACCAAAAGTTGCTCCTATAAATGTGTATAATTACACATTTATAATTAATAACAAACAGAAATGTATAGAGCCAGCATACAACAATTATCGTGTTGTATATATAGTAAAGTCTGCAATAGAACACTTTGAAAGAAGAATGGCAATTAGAAACTCTTGGGGTTTTGAAAAACGATTTTTTGATGTACCTTCAAAGACAGTTTTTGTAATAGGTGTACATTTACATGACAGCGAACTTCAAGCAAAAGTAGAAGCAGAAGCTGCGAAATATAAAGATATCGTTCAAGGAGATTTTATAGATACTTACTATAATAATACTATTAAAACAATGATGGCTTTTAAATGGTTAGTAAACTATTGCTTAAATTCGAAATTTTATATGTTCGTTGACGATGATATTTATGTTTCGGTAAAAAATGTTTTAAGATTCATAAGAAATCCTACTAGCTATCCAGATTATCTTAAAGAACCCAAAAAGATTGAAGCTCATAAAAGAGAAGTCAAAGATACTGATGAAACAGAAGAATTGTATTTCCAAAATACAATCACCGAGAGGAATAGCAATAGTTCTAATAAAAATCATGTTCCTGAATATATAAGAAACTTTTTAATTAAAAATGAAATTACTAATACTACTGAAACTTCTATAGAGAAACTTGCAAATGTAACAAAAATTATAGAAAATGATGTTATACTGAGTAGGAGAAAGAGAGAAATG